GCATCAGTTTCCCTGCTGGTCTCGGTTGATTACCCTCTAACTCATGGGTGTCCAGTCCTGCTCCTGGATGGCCACTTTTCTGCAGAGTTTATCTCCAACACATCTGCCTGGAAGTTTCTAGCAGAGATGTTCTTATTATTGAGAAGATACCATCTTGCAAGTCTCAAAAATTTACATGCATTGTATGATGTAGTGAATCATCAAAGGTTATATGTGACCCGTGCTGGCAAAATAAGTCGGAATGCGCACAGACTAATTTTGAGCTACATGCAAAAAAGTAAAAAATTTCGATTTTTGGGGTATTTCACAAAAACGAGTTCATTAAGCCCTCGTCTAGCGAGCCCAATGCTCCAAATAATAATTTTAGATGTTTAATTACCTTTATCTGTACGTTTTCTGAGAGGAGTACCTTTTCTCCGCTCGCTTCTCACACTGACTGTCATCCCGATAAATATACACATATACACAGAATTACAGTATTTAAGTATTTACGCAAACATATTCTGTTATGTCTTAAGTGAACGTTCTGTTCATCTGTTCTTATTTATAATAACAAAGATAAAATAAAAAAATAGCCATATTGTGATTATTAATATAGTAATTATTATTAAGAAAAGAACTGGAGGAAAAGATGCAAAGTTGCAGGTGATTTTGCTTTTGAACCTTCAGAAAACTTTAACTCGATTTTTCTCAAAATTGACTTTGCTGATTCTATCAACCTCAAACAGGTGTAGCATGTCTTGTCCCCTTCCAACCAATCATACATAATTCTGAAGGTCATTTAATGGAGAATGTAAACATAAAAATAACTCATTTTTGAAAATGTTCTCATTGTGACTCATTTTGCCAGCACAGGTCACATATATTTAAGTGTGTTTTATTGAGCCTTTAGTGCAGTTTAGATAGATAGATAGATAGATAGATAGATAGATAGAAAAATTTGGACATAAACACGTTTAATAATCCAGCCATTTTCCCTTGTCCTTTAGAGCCACTGTATGGAGAAACCACAGACAAACCCCTGTTGGACTGCTGTGCCTGTGGAACTGCCAAATACAGAGTCACCTTCTACGGGAACTGGTCAGAGAAACTGCACCCAAAAGACTACCCAAGTAAGACACTATATCCTCAAAGACATGTGAAGTGTGTCATTTTTTCAATGTTGAAATAGTTTATCTTATCCCAGTTTACTGTGCAGAGAGCAAGAAGTAAGCCATTTAAACTTTTGGTGCAAAACATGAATGATACCACAAATCATGGGGGTTGCTGACGAGAGGTTTTATTTAAATTTGAATTAGGGCTGCAAGATTAATCAAAATTAAATCGCAATCGCGATTAGGTAAAAGCTGCGATTGTCATGCGCATCTTGTCAGGGAAGCATGGTTTTGTGATCAGTAGTAAATCTCCACCTGAAGGCCAGAGGGCGCTCTCGCGCGGAAACTCCAAATACACCCGCAAAAGAAATCCAGGAAATCCCTATAGCGGTTGCTGAATAAACAGAAGATTTAACTGCTTTCATTGATTCAACGTGACTAATAAACACATGACTATGACAATATGGCTTATCTGAGTTTGTCTTATTATATTTTTTATTATAATAAAGTATATAATAATGCAATGCTAATCAAAATCATATTTATCACTACTTTGAAATAAATATGTTGCGTGCCTTATTCTGTGTAAGAAGCCACATCATCTCACAGAAGGATTTATTTCAAACACTCGACTGACATTATGAAGTGAGTTTAGAGTAAAATGTTATTAAATGTGGTATTTTCAAGAAGGATTTATTTCAAACACTCGTCTGACGTTATGAAGTGAGTTTAGAGTAAAATGTTATTAAATGTGGTATTTTCACATCCTTTCAGGTGGAGCAGCATTTACAGAGCCGTGTATAAGCTTTCATAATCGCAGAACAATTTCTTCGATTTCATAATCACGTGATTAAATCTGTCTGCGATTATGAACGCGGTTTTGCGTACCTTGTCAGCTCTGTGTAGTAAATGCTGCTCCATCTGAAAGCACGTGATGGAGATTTACTACTGATCACAGAACCGGCTTTACCGACAAGATGCGCATGAAAATCTAATTCGATTAATAATGCAGCCCTAATTTGTATTTAAAATTCTTCCATGTTTTATTTGCAACTTACAAATAATTTATTTATTGACAAGTTTGTTGAAAGGGGAATTCACTCCAGATGCATCTGGTGGATAAAGTGTCCTAAAACAGAGCTGCCTAAAATTCAAACATACTGTTTTCTGTGATTGTACACACACTGGTGACACCACACCTACCGTACCACAGAGGGCCACTCATGTAACATCCCAGTAAATTACATTATATAGGTTCCAAATGGTAAGGTACATACTGACTTCACCCTTGGCTAAAATATTGTGTATAGACATTTTTCAATAATATGTTTTTTTTTGTGGCTCGAATAGTCTATGCTTCATGTAAAGAAATATCATAAAATAGATCGCACGTCTCTCTCCGTTTGCACAGTTTTTCTCATTGTCACTACTTTGTTCATTAGTGAAGTGAACTGTTCCCTGTATTGTGATGAGATCCTCTGTTTTCAACTGTCACTTTAAACTTGACACGTCCGATGCCCAAAACATGTGATTTGTGGCTCTTCTAGTCTCTAAATGTTTGGACAAATTCTAATGCAAAATGGAATATGAATGTTTTCAAGCTGAACACTCACATAGTCATGCTGATCAATAAGCGACTACCCAGAACACCCTAGTAACCGCATTACAATGTGCTAAAAAAACATCCTAGCAACTGTACAGCAATGGCTGGTCCCTCGAAAGCACCCTAGCATTATGAGAGCTGTACATTGTGCATTAGAAAGCAGCACTCTACTTATAATATATATATATATATATAGAGAGAGAGAGAGAGAGAGAGTGTTGCAACAAAAATTAGTTTAGATATGAAATGTGCAATCATTTCCTCATTATTTTCTCTTAGCGCCTGTCCACTCTTCTTGTCTTTTGTGGTTGGTGTGGATAACCTTGAGAGTGTCTCATTGGGAGCAAATTAAGCCTGGGGATTAGAGTTACTCTCCACTTGAGCTTGTGCTGCTCAGATCAATACTCTGATTAGAATGTACTCTGGGAGCTAGATGAACCTGATAAAGAAAGTGTGGTGCACTAATTTATGGGCTTAGGAAACAGTGAAAGACATACGGGTAAATATACACACACACACTCGTACAGTAGATAAACACATGGGATTTATGATTATCACATGTGCAAAAAACATTCCCATGTGCCAGTATAAATGCATGTATAAAAGAAAACACACAAACATGCTGCTGTGGACATCTGGAATATATGCAGTCATTATCGTTTCATTTTGATTTATTTGCATAAATTACTTGATAAAAAAGAGCTACTTTAATTAATCACAGCCAAAAGCACATATTATAATTTATTCCCATGCTACATTAATTGAATGATTTCACCACATTAATCAGTCATATTCTTGATTTTGTTGCTCAAATAATAATAATAATAATAATAATAATAATAATAACTAATTCATATGAATTTGGCCAAAACCATAAAACAATTATCAGTTGAGAGTATGTGAATGTCACTGTTTACACTTAGCTTCCTTTCAGTCAACCCAGATCAATGACACATTTTCCCCAGGAAAATACATATACATCTTTTTGAAGCAGATAGAGAGGAGAAATAGAGAGATACTGTGTTTGGCAGGACGTATGAAAATAAGCATTGGAACATCAGAGCGCATCAGTGAGATTTGATACAGGCCTGACGGATTGAGTGGATTAGCGGCACAGAGAGGATGTGGTAAGCAGTTCTTCACAGAGCCAGTCTGAACACTCTGTCATGCCTGTGGAATAGCTCAAATTGGTGAGTAGAAATTAGATTGAGGGCTTTAAAGGCCCAGACTGGGAGATCTGGAACTTAATACCTCAGGGTAGAGATTTTCCTACAAGGTGACTTTAATGTTAGAGCAAGACATTATAAATTTGAAAGAGAAGTGAATTAATTTCATAACTTTTTTTATAGATAGGATGTGTCATTTGTAAAATTCCTTTCAGTGCAGAGAAGAACTGTCTGTCATTTCTCCTGCATAATGTTGCTCAGTAATCTGTATTTCTATAAAGTGCAGAATTTGATTGTGGTAAGGTTCAACTTGCCATTGAAGGGCTTGGCCAAGGGGACAAATCGAGGACACACACTCAAAAAAAGCCCTGGATAGAGCTATTTCAGTGTTTTTTGGCCGGCCCCTGCAGGAGAACCCCATTTTGTGGAAGGTGGAAACCATTTATATGACATTTGTGGAAGGCATCATGGAATAGTTGTACACAGGACTCAAAGATTCACTAAAGCTTCACACTGCTCCTGCACAATGGAGGGACACTTCCGCTCTGTCAGAAAAGCAGGGTTATCTTTTTCATGATTGTAATGCTATGAAAAATGCAAGATTTTAACTTGTATGATTACTGTAGCATGGCATTTTAGTGACGAAATTTAGCTTGATAGCACTTTTGTGCAGGCAAATCAAGTTTTATTCCAGCTGCATTATTTCCAGATTCCATACAACCTCTTCTCTCCTTCATTTTCTGTTAGTAATCCACCTGTTTTAATTAATTCATTACATTTATTCTCATTTTTTCTTTACAAATATTTGTTTATTCAATCATTTCTGGGTAATTTAATTTATCTGCATATACAGTATGTAATACCTACAAATACAGTGTTCTATTTTATGTTTCATGTGAAACTGATATAGGGTATTTTAATTAGGAACACATTTTTCATTGATTTAGCTCTCTCTCTCTGTGCCAGAGAAAAGAGTCACATTTTGACTGATGCCTCTGCTGTTCCAGTGGTTGATTTGTTATACTAAGTGTTCTTTGCAAATGAGGGATGTGAGCCCCATCCCATGAGATGTAGGGAGTGTTTTGTACATACATTATTCATTTTGAGAAAATTTGAGATGAATATTTATGTGGCTGCACGTTCCTGAAAATGCAATATTTATTTTACTTTGTTTTTGCCTTTTTGGCAGTTTTATTAGGATAGATAGTAAAGTGACGTGACGTGTAGGCAAGTATGATGTCCCATACTCGGAATTTGTGCTCTGCATTTAACCCATCCAAGTGCACACACA